TATATATATATAATTAAAAAGGTTCTGAGTCCAAAAAGGGCCCCCCAAAATAGTAAAGATTTGGGGGCAGAATGCTCAAGCTGGGATTCCCTGACTGAATCCACACCATGCTGGACTTCCATAGCGCCATCCAGTGAGCTTGCTTAAAACTCCTCCTTACTCCTACTTGGAGAATTTCCCCAGTTCTTACATTGTCCCCTAAAAAACAGCTATTAAAAATTCACTTTTTTCACCTTCCTTTATTTCATTTATTTAGTTACTTCCTTCTCTTTCCATTTCTCATGTTTCTTTTCTTCTTTTTTTCCCTTAAAAGTGAGATATAATTCACTACCACAGCGTTCACTGTCATAGTGTACAACTCCATGAGTGTTAGTATATTTACCCCACTGTCTAACTGCATGGGTTTGTCATCACTGAAAAGCAAACCCTGTCCCCATTCACAGTCACTTCCGGTCCCTCCCTCTGCTTTGCCACCCCATGATCTGCTGGGTTTCTGTGGCTGTGACTGTTCTGGTCACTCCATATGAGCAAAATCAGGCCACAGCAGCCTTCTGACTCTGCTGCCCCTTTCTTCTGGCTTATTTTCAAGGTTCATCCACAGTTACAGCACGAATCAGTTTCTCATCCTATTTTGTGGCTCAGTGGTATTTCACCATAGGGGTAGACCACATTTAGCTTATCAATTCTTTGGTTAAACATCTGACTCATCTCCACTTTGGGTTGTTATAAATCATGTGCACATTTGCTTTGGTGGGCACAGATCTCCACTCTGCTGAGCATGCTCTGGATGTGGAATGATGAATCGCATGGCGCTATTTAACCTTTTTTAGGAACTACCAGGCTGCTTCCCACAGCAGCTACACCATGTCGTGTCCACACCAGCAAAGAAAGAGAACTATACACGTAACCAAGTAAGATTTGTTTTGGGTTGCAAGCTTGTTTAACATTTAACCATATATGTATATCAGCAAGCTAAACCAGAAAAATCTTTCATATTATTAAATTTTCTTCGTGTGTGTGTGTGTGTGTGTGTGTGTGTGTGTGTGTGTGTGTGCAGGGATGCATGCCATGCCATGTGGGTGAAGGTCAGAGGACAACCTACTGGAGCTGGTGGTCTCTTCCCACCAGGTGGGTCCTGGGAATGAAATTCAGGTTTTCAGATCAGTGGCAGATATCTCACCCAATGAGCCATCTCTCTGACTCCTATTCATAAGGCTGAGGTGTATTTTTATTTATGTATATATGTGCAAGAGAGTGCATGCCACATGTACATGTGAGTGCCAACAGAGACCAGAGAGGACACTGGCTTTTCTGAAGCTGGATTTACAATCGATGATGTGCCACCTGACATGTGCTCTTGGAAATGGAACTGGAGGATCCTCTGGGAGAGCAGCAAGCACTCTTGACCACTGAGACATCTCTCCAGCCCAGAGTTATTCCTGTTTCATTGACATTTTTTGCACATAAG